TCCCAGTGGGGGACGTGCAGGAGGCAGCCGGTCAATGATTCTCTCTCATCATTGATGTTTCTATCTTTCCCTCTCCCTTCCTCTCTAAAATCAATATATATAAAAACAGAAAAGAAAGAATTCATGCCCAGGCCTTGTCCCTAACCAAATAACTCAGCGAGGCAGAGAACCAGAGGGCAGGGGCAGCCGCATTTGAAAAACCCACCACCTGACTTCGGTGCACAGTGGAAGCTGAGAACTCTGGATCAACACAGAAGGTGTCACTATGAGGTTTCAATTTCCCAGTAAAGTTTTACTGGGCGCTATTCTGCTTATATCATCCACTAAAATTTCCCAGTGGCATATAAACTCATGGAAGTTTGGCTATGCATGACACAAGTCACTGTCCAAGAGCCGTGTCTGCATTTCCACGACAATATAAAAGTCATCCTACAGGTTCAGGCTGTAGTCCCTAGTTCTGCCGGTACCACTTACATCTACTGTCTAACCCAACAGACCTGGCCTTATCATAAATTAGGCATATTGACACAGCTCTACTCACAACACAAACACCCTGAGAACTTCAGTTTCACTCGACTATTTGCTTATGCAATGGGGTTCAGATCCATAAATCTCACTTATATCGGATGGGTTTTTCTTTTTTCTTTTAACAAGACACCTAAAGCCTGAACACTTCTACCGCTGGTGAAACCTGTAAATGCACAATGTAACAGCCAATGCTGAAATGAAGGGTACTGGACTAGGACTAACATTGCTCCTTGGCACACAGAGGTAAATAAAAGGACCTCCCTCCATCCCATTTATTTCTTAACAAAAAAGAATTATCTTTTGTATGATACACTAGGAGGAACAACTGTGCAGTGTTTCTACTAGCAAATATCTAGTCAGAAGTTGATTTGCAGCATTTTTTTTGCAGGCCTGACAATTCAGTCAGAACCCGCAGCTTGGAAAACAAACGCCGCACACCCCGAGCCCTTGGTGCCACCCCAGGGACAGAGCATCTCCAGGAAATAGACAGGAAAGAGGCAGAGCCCCAGTGCTTGGTTTCGCTGGGCACATTCTCAGATTCTTCTGGGTCCCTGTCACCAGATGTTTTGTTGTTGTTTTTACTGTATTTTCCCAACCAGACTAACTGCTTCTCCAGGCAGCACAAATCTTCTCGAAAATGTCACTATGACCCAGATTTATTTGAGTCCCTCATCTGTGACACATGGTGGCTCCCTGGCTCATCCAGAGTGAGCCCAGAGGCAGAGAGGTGCACAGAGGAGTCGCGCCAGGATGAGAAGGTCTGGGCTGGAGATACGTGGCCACTTGTCCTCAGCCCTGGCTGCTCAGCCTGCACAGCGTCACGGGGAGCCTGTTAGAAGTGGCGACCCTCTGACCACCCGGACCCACAGCGTCCCGGGCTGCCCGTGGGTCTAGCCCAGTGGTCGGCAAACTCATTAGTCAACAGAGCCAAATATCAATGGTACAACGATTGAAATTTCTTTTGAGAGCCAAATTTTTTAAACTTAAACTATATAGGTAGGTACATTGTTATTAACTTAATTAGGGCACTCCTAGGCTGGCCTTTGCTAAAAACGTCCTCAATCTGATTGAGGTATTCAATCGCACTGTACATGTGCACCCGCACATGGTATTTTGTGGAAGAGCCACACTTAAGGGGCCAAAGAGCCGCATGTGGCTCGCGAGCCGCTGTTTGCCGACCACTGGTCTAACCGCTAAGGCAACATGCCCGGTGTGGGTCCATGCCTATCCCGACCACAGTGGAAGTTCCTGCGCCTTAAACATGGGGAGCAGACAGTGACAGAGGGCAAAGGTGTCTGCTTTGGGAGAAGAAAACTCACAGATAGATATTAGGAACTCATCCTCCAATCCCAATGCTAACATGCCTGAAGCCAAGTCCACACACTTAAATGCTCCGAAATGTATCGGTGCCGGGCCAACAGGAGACGGTGGGTAGACTGAGCATACACGCCCGACACAGATGCTCACAGGGGACCTCCAGTGGGAAAGAGGCCATCGCAGGACATACACGCAGGGCCACCCCCGGGGGGTGACTCGGTCATCTCTGGCCGCAGCCCCGGTCTGCGTGCGGTTCAGAGCGTGAGCTCTGGGATGCGGACCCACGAGCTCCAGTCCTGCCTGTCACCCGCTCGTCCTGTGGTTTGGGGACAGTGATGGAGGCCACTCCACCACTCAGGTCCTACATCTGCAAATGGTGTAATAAAAATGCCAACCGCCATAAAGCTGACTGGGAATTAAAGGAAATAATTCCTATAAAGCACTTCCACAAATGAGGTCATAATAAGTGATTATCATAATCATGCGCACTTAGCCTTAAATGCGTTTATTCTCTCTCCTCTCTCTCTCTCTCATACACAGAGTACCTACGATATAATAAAAACATTCAGACAGCATATTTTAATTTTAATAAGAGAGCAGAAGGGACAAGTGCCTAGACCAGTGCTCGGCAAACTCATTAGTCAACAGAGGCAAATATCAACAGTACAACGATTGAAATTTCTTTTGAGAGCCAAATTTTTTAAACTTAAACTATATAGGTAGGTACACTGTTATTAACTTAATTAGGGTACTCCTAAGGCTTAGGAAGAGCCACACTCAAGGGGCCAAAGAGCCGCATGTGGCTCGCGAGCCGCAGTTTGCCGACCACTGGCCTAGAGAGAAACAGGAGAATGAGGAGGGAGTTAGGAAATCACCATGAACAATATTAAGTGTGTAGGAATCTGAGCAATTACTCGCCTCCTTGAAAAGTCATAAAACCTGTGCTGACAGGAGGAGCATGACGGCGAAGATAATGAGTCAGGAACTGCTGGAGTCTGTTACACGGGGGTCAGTGCTGGGAGAGAACTCAGGATAAGGAGACGGGAATGTCTGGTGGTGGGAGGGGGGGAAACCAGGCAGGTTTTTGAAAAGGTGATTTTAAGCAATGACGTGAAGCGAGTGAGGCAGTTAGTCACGGGCACACGGGGAGAGGAAGCGCAGTAGCAGCGCGTGTGGAGAGAGTGTGGGGCCCAGCAGGAGACCTGGTCAGAGGAGAGGTGGGTGATGTATCAGGACTGGCCACATGCACCCGGGCCGGCTCAGGACCCCGTCCTGGCCGTCGCTGAGGAGGCTGGGCATGAAGCGTCGGTGATGATTACGGACTAGGAACGGCGGCAGCGGTACCTGCACGTGGCCCTGTCGTGTTCGGCCCTTCTATCAATCACTGAAGGACACAGAAGGCACGGCTCGTCAAGGTTACCCAGCTGTTACACACACCGGTCACCAGAATCACACTTCAAAACCATCCCAACCGAACTGGCCAAACCAATGCTGCAACACTTCACCGGTACCAACTGTTTGGGGGAAAGCTTTTTACAAACCCTTTCTCAAGTGCAGCTAGAAATCAGTCTACTTTATCAATGAGTTCATGGCCAAAGGGACAACATACTGTAGGAGTCAAGAATGGGAGACAGGCCTGGCCGGTGCGGACCAGTGATTAGAGTGTCAGAGTGGGCACTGAAGGGTCTCAGGTTCGATTCCCGGTCGAGGGCATGAACCTGGGTTGCGGGTTCACTCCCCACCCCTTGTCAGGGCACATGTGAAAGGCAACCAATCGACGTCTCTCTCACATGGATGTTTCTCTCTCTCTCCCCCTACCTCCTTTCCACTCTCTCTGAAAAGCAATGGAAAAAACACCCTCCACTGAGGGAAATAAATACATAAATAAAAATATATAATTTTAAAAAGAATGGGGGATAATTACTTAGAGCGAGAGAGGTTATGCAGGGCCCTGCCTTGAGAGAACAGTGGCCCTCGGTGTAGGGGAGAGGCTCCCTGTGAGGCTGGAGACCGCGGAGTGCATTGGGGCAGGTCCCACGGGGACAGCAGGGATGGTGTGCCCAGAGGACAGGCCTTTGACAAGAGGAGTCCCTAGAGCAGCTCTAAAGGAAGCAGCTACTCCAGGACCCTCGCCATCTGAAGTCCGGGAAGTAGAAGGCAGCATCTGCACTCCGTGTGGCTGCAGAGACCAGGGCAGGAGGGCGGGGGACCCCGGGCAGGACCTGGCTCAGTCTGAGAAAGTGCGTTTGAGAACTCAGGTCTGTTCGGGAATGGGGCGGCTGCCTCGCACAGTCGTCCTGGCGCTGGTACATTCCCGGCCGCTGCCAAGCCAAGCATCGCCGGCGCACTGCCATGACAGGTACACATCCAGATGCATTAATACACCATCACACCTCCACCCAGCGATGCTGTGCTGGGCGCCACTTTCAAACATCGAAACTCCAGGTGCTACTCCTGTTCCGCTGTTTCAGCCACAAATCACAGTTCGGTTCCCCCTCCAGGGCTTTCCTCGGTCCCTCCCCGCACACTCCCAACTCTGTCCACACCCCTCCACCTCCAGCACCATCGCGCACCCCCACCCCCACCCCCGGCCCCGCAGGAAGGGGCTGCAGAGGGGGGCTCTATGGCGCCCCCGTGTTGGGGGCTGAGGTAAGAGCTGAAAACATTCGCTTCGCTGACCCCCTCCAGCAACCCCCACCTCGAAGTACCCCCCTCCCCCCTCGGCCAGGTACTGCCCTTGACGGAATCGAACCTCAAGCCTTTAGTCCAGGGGCCCACGCTCTATCCACTGAGCCAAACGGGCCAGGGCAGAGGTGCCACCAAGGTGTTGGCAGCTGCTGCAGGACCTCTGAACATAGCGACAAGCACTGTATTTGAGCTTCTGACCGGGGGAGCTTTAGAACCAGGGGAGATTCTGCCTGGAAACCCCGTGTCAGCTCTTCTCCCGCCGGTGCACTTGGGCAACAGGCAGAACCCGCGCCAGAATCTAGCAGCTTTGTTTCAGGGGCGGGCCTCACCTTCGTATCTGCTGGGCGAGTCGCTCGCTTTCTGCGGGGTCGCCACGCGGAGGAATATCTGCTGCCTCCACGAGTGTCTCCGCGTCTTCACAGGCGTCCCGCTGGGGTCGTCGAGATGGTGGGCTTTGGCGTCCACGTCCCTAAAATTACAAGAGAATCGATTTATGACTGGTGAGGAGCTAGAAACAGGTATTTTAGCTCATGTTTTTGTCTTTTAAACAACACATTATAATATCAACTATCTTTGCCTAAGGAAATACAATTAGATCCTTGCAGAAGTTAAGTCCAGCGCAGAGTGGGCCATCACTCCTGCGCGCTGCTTTCTTTCAGGAGGCTCTGCATAAAGGGCGAGAGGACATGCCCCTCATTTATTTCCATGGTAAAGAGATTCAGAAATACCCTCCAGGAATCCTAGCTTCCAGCTGGGCCTCTCTGGGCGCCACTTCATTATGCAGAGGAACTGCCTACAGGGGGCGCTGTCACCAGGGCCACACTCCCCGCTGGTCTGCCTGTGGGAGTATTTTCACAGCACAGGCCTGCGCCTCCACAGGTCATCACACAAAATACAAGTTAAATCACATAGAACCGCCAAGGCAGTATAATTACCCGGTCACTTGCTGATGACTACTGACTTAACTTTTATATTTTTAAAACTACAAAACACAGTACATTTATCAATATACATAACTAGCATCGAGTCATTAACATGCTTCTTATTCGCAGGACAACTTGGGGAAGGAAGCCCTTATAATCTACACCTGAGTGTGTGTACATATACAGAGGTGGGCAAAAGTAGGCTTACATTTGCTCGTCTGGAAAATAGTACAATCATTAATAAATAATCTTACAAAATAAACTGTGTTTCGTGCACCCTCAACTGTAAGCCTACTTTTGCCAGCCCGTGTACATACCCACAACTGTGCAATCACGGGCACCTACAGATCGGACACCCAGCCACACGCTCACTACCCACAGCTCCAATGTCACTTAGAGAACTGAGTAAGACCTTCTTGAATCTTCTGAAAACAGCAGCATATTAATAATCGAATCCTCGTCAAAATTAGAAGAGGTTGACAGTACATTTTTTAAAATGACATTCAGTAAGAAAAAAAAGTATAAGAAAGAAGATACAGTAAGATTTAGCTAAAATGACTTTTCAAATGGCAAAAGAACAGCTGAAAATCCCTGTATGTCTAACAGTTCAACACTCCACCCAGGCTTGAAACAGCTAAAGGAAGCCCTACCTTTTTGTGCTCATAAAGTCAGAGGTGTTATTTTCATCTACAGGAGCCAGAAATTTTAGGAAATTTGGCACAGAGGAGGAAGAGTGGAGTTTTCTCCGCAGGGCATTGCGGTAGGAGATGCTGAGAGTTCGGTTGGAAAAAGAGTTCAGGATAAAGAAATACAAACAGACAAAGTGTAAAACACCAGCTTCAAAATTAAAGCAACATTTTAGTTCTAATGCTAAGAGAAAGTAAACCAGGTGGGAAATTAAAAATAGCTTACAAGTGAGATTGAACTTGAATTTTTCAGTTAATAAAATTCCATTTTAAATGAATGGAACCAATGAGTTAATTTAAAAGCATCAGTCCATTTAGTTATGCGAGATGAATGAATTCCGAGAGCTGCCATGCAACACGGTGCCTGGGGTTAACAATACGGTGTGCGGCCCTTTAAACACTTGTTAAGAGTGCCGATCTCCTGATAAGCGCTCTTACCAGAATAAGGGAAAAACAAAACCACCAAAAAAATCAGTCCATCTTCCAAAATGACTCTTTCTTTCAAACTGGAAAAATTAATGAGGGTGTTTCTCATGTGGCACAAACTGCAGTGTCTAAGGTCAAACACGTGTTGTTAACGTGTGTGCGTGTGTGTGTGTGTGTGTATTGGGGCAGGGGAATGTGACAGTAAGTATATACAAATGGCTTGCCATCAAGACCTTTTGAGGAAATTAAAATTTAGAAAAAAATTTAATTTTGAGAAAATTAATCAATAGTAAAATTAAGTCAGTTCGAATGATAGACTGAAAATAATGAAAATAATAAAACCACACACACACACACACACTCGTGGCCCGGATCCCCTCCATGCAGCACATCCTCTCGGTGCGAACCTCCCCGGAAGACAAACGACACTGAACTTGCCATGCGAGTGCGCTCACCTCTTAGGCACGGCATTCCCACTTTGTTCTCCACTCGTGTTATGTTTTAAGGACTTAAAAAAATTTGGTGAGGAGTCGGAGGGGTTAAGACGAGGTGGAGGAGCAGGAACTGAAGGACCTGAGCAACTTTTAGACTCGCCAACAGGTGGATGATTCCCACTAAATAGCAAGTAGAGAGAAAGCACTGGGGTTTAGAGGCAGAGGGGGGCCAAGGGGACTAGGGGGGCACGACAGAGGGGCAAGAGGGCCGTGTCTCACTTCGCTTCTGCATCCCGACTCTCAGTGGCAAAGGTGGTTTTTAGTAAAACAAAGAGTATTGTGAAAGGTCACCCTTGATCATTTCCCACATGTCTCCACAACCAATAGTACTGTTTCCTCTATCCCCTTTTTAGGAACAGACAGGAAAAAAATTTCAATTGAAACAAAAGCAAAGAAAAGCAAACCAAATTCCAGAGTTTTAAAAATACATCTCTCTTAAAAATGAACAATAACCTGCCTTGAATATGAATGTCTCATTTCCTGGACATAAATAAGAAGAGTTCTTACAGGGTGCGGAACGTGCAATAGGTAGGGGAGAGAGGGGGAGAGGAGGGGAGGGAGAAGGAGGAGGTGGGGGGGAGGACATTTCCCCCTCCCCCCATGTCTCTCAGCCACTATGTCCGGCATGACCCATCAGGAAGCTGCATTCCCAGGGGAGGAGGGGAATGCGCTGTCAGGGACACTGATCCCCCCACCTCTGCCTTGTGTGCAACACCAGGCTTATTAGGCAGAGACCGAGACCTCTCTAGACAGGAACGTTTGCATTCGCATTGAAAATGCCAGGACTGAGTGTGGCAACCCAGTGGAGAGGTAGAAGAAAAGGCCCCAGTGTGAGTACAGAGCTTTAAGACACGTGACAAGACCCTCATAAGGCCTCCAACCGTGTTGTCTCTACAATGTCGTATTATCAGATATTAGCTTCTGCAGTGTGTCCTGCTTGGGGATCCTGGTTATCCAGCAAATTCCAAAGAATTGCCCCAACTGCTTTCAATGGCTGCCTGAAGACAAAGCCGAGAGGCCCTGCTACATTGTCTCAGGACTGTCCATGCCGTCACCTCTTCACTGGGAACATTTCAACCCCCAACCCCCACCTC